GCCTCCTGTCTCCACCCGCACCAGAGGAGCTCCCAGGAAGCTGAAGCTCCATCGTCTACTGTCCAGGCGCTGCCTCTCAGAGAGGTTGGCCTGCCCGTTGAGGACGGAAGCAGAACCTGGCAGTACTAGCCATTTTCAACATCAGACCTTTATAACTGGAAAGAGCAAAAGGCCCACTTTTCTGAGAACCCCCAAAGCCTGATTAATTTGTTAGACTCCATATTGTTTACTCATAACCCCACTTGGGATAACTGTCAGCAGCTATTGCAGGTTTTGTTCACCACAGAGGAGAAAGAAAAGCTCTTGACCGAGGCCAGGGAAAATGTTCCGGGAGATAATGAGCAGCCTACAACGCTTCAGAATTTAATTGATGCAGGGTTTCCGTTATCTCGCCCTGGGTGGGACTTTGAACTAGCGGAGGGTAAGGAGAAGCTTCTAAAGTACCGCCAGATTCTAGTGGCCAGTCTCCGAGCAGCGGCGAGGAAGCCAACTAATTTAGCCAAGGTAAACTTAGTCAAGAAAGAGCCAACAGAGAGCCCTGCAGCATATTTAGAAAGATTGATGGATGTGTTTAAGCTGTATACTCCCATGGATCCGCTAACTGATGAGAGTAGAGCAGCAGTGGTCCTATCTTTTGTAAACCAAGCAGCCCCTGATATCAGAAGAAAGCGTCAGAAGATAGATAGATTAGGTGAGCAGACCCTACAGAACTTAATGAAAGTAGCAGAGAGAGTGTATAATAAGAGGGAGACCCCAGAGGAAAGGGAAGAAAGGATACGGAGGGAGGAAAGGGAGTTCCAAGCTAAAGAGAATAAACAAAATCAGAAGGAGTTAGCAAAGATTCTCTTTGCCGGAACTCGGGGAGACAGAGGGAGAGGAAGGAGACTAGACCAACATGACATGCTCCGCCAAGACCCAACCCTGGCTCCGAACCAATGTGCATTTTGCAAGGGGACTGGACATTGGAACAATGAATGCCCAAAGAAAGAAACAAAAAACATGAAAAGCCTACTCCTGTTAGGACCTTGATAGCAAGCGAGGACAGCGACTAGGGGAGATGGGACTCAGAACCCCTCCCTGAGTCTTGGGTAACCTTGAAGGTGGGGAGGAAGCCAGTAGAGATCCTGGTAGACACAGGAGCTCAGTATTCCGTCCTAAATAAGGAGGGAAGGATTTCTTCAAAAACTAGCCTAGTCCAGGGAGCAACAGGGGCAAAGCGGTATCATTGGACAATGCAGCGACAAGTGAATCTGGGAACTAAGCAAGTGTCCCATTCATTCTTAATTGTACCTGACTGTCCTGCACCACTCTTAGGAAGAGACTTATTATCTAAAGCCCAAGCCCATATATCCTTTCACAAAGATGGTGTCCAGGTTACCGATGGGAAAGGCTCCCCTCTGCATGTCCTGACGGTCGCCTTGCAAGATGAACACCGCTTGTATAAAGGTGTGGAAGACCAACGTGCTAGCTTAATAGATATAGCTCCGTAGCTGGAAGAGTTTCCCCAAGTCTGGGCAGAAACTGGAGAAATTGGGTTAGCGAAACACCGACCACCCATTATTGTGAACTTAAAACCCTCTGCCACACCGGTAAGAGTTCAACAGTATCCCATGCCCAGGGAAGCCCGAGAAAGCATACAGCCCCATATCCAGCAGCTGTTAAGGGAGGGGGTGCTGAGGAGGTGCCGGTCTGCATGGAATACACCTCTCCTCCCAGTAAAGAAACCAGGGGGAGAGTACAGACCGGTGCAGGATCTGAGATAAATTAATCACCGAGTGGAAAACATACATCCCACAGTCCCTAACCCTTATACACTGCTCAGCAATCTTCCCCCAGAACATGTGTGGTATACCACCCTGGATTTGAAAGATGCTTTCTTTAGTCTGCCTCTAGCCCCGCAGAGCCAAGACATTTTTGCCTTCGAATGGGTTGATGAGACGGATAAAATCCTCGACCAGCTGGCCTTGAACAAGGTTGGTTCAGGGATTCAAGTACTCGCCCACTTTATTCAAAGAAACCTTGAGTGACAACCTACATGAGTACAGGGGGCAAAACCCACAAATAACTTTACTACAGTATGTGGATAACTTGCTGATCACAGCCCCCAACCGAGCAAGCTGTCTTGAAGCAACCAGAAAACTGCTCACCACTCTGGGAGAGCTGGGATATTGAGCTAGTGCAAAAAAAGCTCAGATAGCTAAGTCAGAAGTCACATATTTGGGGTATAAGCTAAGAGCTGGGCAGAGGTAGCTCACTGAAACCATGAAACAAACGATCCTACAGATTCCTCAACCCACAAGCCCAAAGAAGATGAGAGAATTCTTAGAAACAGTGAGCTATTGTCAGCTGTGGATTTTAGATTTTGCCACAAAAGCGAAGTCACTCTATGAGCTCAGCAGAGAAGGGTCAGAGTGGGACTGGACTCCCGAGAGAGATTCAGCTTTTAAAGAACTTAAGGAAGCACTCCTTAAAGCCCCAGCATTGACATTGCCAGACCCCACTAAACCATTTCATCTGTTTGTTGATGAGAAGAAAGGAATAGACAAGGGGGTCTTAACACAACAACAGGGGCCATAGAAGAAGCCAGTAGCATACCTCTCAAAGAAATTAGATCTAGTAGCAGCAGCATAGCCCCCTTACCTGAGGATTATTGCCTCCACCGCCCTGCTAGTTAAAGATGCAGATAAGTTAACCCATGGACAGACTTTGAAAGTAACCACTCCCCATGCCATTGAAGGAGTGCTCAAACAGCCTCGGGGAAATGGATAACTAACACCAGATTAACTCGTTATCAGAGTCTATTACTTGACACTCCAAGGGTGCAATTCTCAAGCCCAACAGTTTTGAACCCCGCCACCCTGCTGCCTAACCCTGACCTAGATAAACCTCTGCAGGACTACTCAGACATACTCGCAGAGGTAAATACAGTCAGAAATAACTTGCGAGACTCCCCATGAAAAACAGTAATTTCATCTGGTTCACGGATGGGAGCAGTTTCGTACAGGATGAACTAAGGTATGCAGGTGCCACAGTGGTAAACAACCAGGAGGAGATTATTTGGGCAGGCGATTTACCGCCAGGAAATTCCGCTCAGAAAGCTGAACTTATCACCATAGCGGAAGCGCTAGAAAGAGCAGAGGGAAAGAAGTTGATAGTCTATACCAACAGTCGCTATTTGTATGCAACTCTTCATATACATGGCACCATCTACCGGGAGCGTGGGTTCAGAAACGCGGAAGGAAAAGAAATAAAGAACCAAGGGGAAATTCTCCACTTGTTATCAGCTGTGACCCAGCCGCAGATGGTAGCGGTGGTCCATACCCCGGGACATCAGAGAGGACACTCCCTTGAAACCAGAGGTAACCGAGCAGCGGACCAGGCAGCTAAGAGAGCTACCCTCCAAACAGTATGGGCCTTAACAACTAACTTACCCTGCCCGCAGCTGGAACCCCTGCCTCCTATTCCCAATTATTCTGGGGAG